TTATCTTGTTATGCCTGTAACAGTTCCGTACCAATGCAATAAGAGAGTTATGTGTGTGGTTGTCGATACACAACCTCCCACACAAAACTTCAAAGAGTATCACACCCAAGGAGTAAACATCCAACTCCTTTGTCAGTAACCCCGTCTCCATGTACAGCGGATCACGATACCCAAGGGTGCCTATAGGACGGGTAAAGAGAAATGTGTGCATTACCATAGATTGAACAAATTTGCTTAGGCCAAAATCTACAATCTTAGCATTCCAATTTTCATCTAATAAGATAGTTGAGCTACTCATATTGCAGTGTATTAATCTTTGTTGTGTCCAACCAGGATTATGAAGGTACGCTAGTCCGCGTGTTACCCCAATGCATATCTTCAGGCGTTGAACCCATGTTAGATGATTGCTTCCGAGATGCAAGTCAAGACTTCCCTTTGATGCATATTCTTGCACGAGAATCTCATCGCCATTCTTATCACAAAATCCTAAGAGGGAGATAATATTTTCATGCCTGTAACCCGATAGCATCATAATTTCTTCCAATTGCTCAAGGTATCTAGCTTGCGTGAATACACTTCCTAAACGTTGTAAAGAAACCATGGTAGGCCCCTTCCAAAGGACAAGTTTTCCTTTGTATACTTTTCCGAATCCTCTTTGACCGATACAGTTACCTTCAGCAAAGTTGTTTGTTGCTGATATTATATCTTCCGGTTGTATTTCGATAGGTTCAAGCTGTTTTAAAACAAAATTCATTTTCATGATCAAAAAATTAATCTGCCTTACCAACCTTTGGTAGCTTGCCAGATGAATTACAGAAATATGTTTTAAATTAAATAATCTAATAAGTATTAACTTGAAAGTTGCAAAAGTCAAATAAATCGTTATGTAATATTCAATACTTTTTAAAATTTAATGCTTTAATATATTTCAACTTTCTCCATTTAAGAATAGTTATAAAAAATGATTTGTCAATATTTTAGATTTTAATACATACATACATTTACAAAATTTTATTTGTCAAATTTCATAATTCAATAGAAAATAAGCAAAAAAATTATGTTTCAATTTAGAGTATCATCGCCCCATTAATAGATTAAAAATTAGAATATATTGTTTTTTTCTTATATAATAAAACCAGAAATTAATCTAAATTGCTAGTTTTGTTCAGATTAATTATAATGAAAAAAACAAATTAAGATGATTAATAGGAGTAAATAAAAGTGAAAAACCAACATACTTGGTATTTGAGTGCACTTTCAAGTTTTAGCACTACATCTTCCATTAAAGGACGTTCTTCACGCTCTCTCCTTAAACATTGATAAGCAATTGTTGTAAACTCCTGCAAGGCACGAGGGTTTATTTCATCCTTTATACCATCATAAATAACTTCTTCAAAGTTATTGCCAAAATTTTGTATCAATTCAGTTAAACGTTGGTGCTCATCTTTGTTATCAATACACAACCTCCCACACAACACTTCAAACAACACCACGCCGAATGAGTAAACGTCAGATTCCTTTGTTAGAAACCCTGTCTCGGCATATAGTGGATCGCAATACCCAGCAGTACCACAAGCATCAGAGACCATAAATGAGTATTCTTGCTTAATGGGAACACGTATAGATAGACCAAAATCAGCAATTATGGCATTCCAATCATCATCTAATATAATGTTGGAGCATTTAATGTCACGGTGCAATACTCTTTGTTGGTTCAATATAGGATTATGAAGATACGCTAATCCACGAGCTGCCCCAATGCATATCTTAAGGCGTTGAACCCATGTTAGATTCTTGCTTTTGAGATGTGAATCGAGACTCCCCTTGGAAGCATACTTATACACAAGGATCTTCTCACCTTTCTCATCACAAAAACCTAAAAGGGAGACAATATTTTCATGTTTGTAAAGGGAAAGGGTCATCACCTCCTTCCAAAACTCGGGCTCACCTTGCCCTCGAGCAATTTCTAAACGTTTTAAAGCAGCCATGGTATGCCCCTCCAATTGGAGGAGTTCTCCCTTGTACACATCGCCAAATCCTCCTCTCCCAATGAGATGGCTCTCATCAAAGTTGTTGGTTGCTGATTTTATAAGTTGTATTGGTATTTCGAGGTGCTTAAATTTTTTTCTGACAGACATTTTATGATGATGGGTGAAAAATAGGAAACAAGACAAAAACCTCTAAAGAACTCGAGTTGAATGGTTTGAAAACACTGATATTACTTGGAATGGGTAATTGATGAAGTTACTCATCAACATATATATAGAATTTTTAGTCAACTCTTCCAAATACCGTGTTGCCGGCTTGCGGAATGAACATTATCAAAACCAGCATGCTCTTTACCGACCTTTTCCAGCCTGCTTTAAACAAACTCTCCTCAAATTAGAAAAATTACAGGTCGTGATTGATCAAGCAATAAGAATAAGATCACATCGCAGATTAAAAAATAAACCTCTATCATAACATTGAAGTACGACCTGTTACAGAAAGATCGAGATGCAGGGATGCGATGAAATCCCAACAGCTGTTGAGTTAGGGTGAGAACAGAGCGTAATTTCTAGCGAATTTCTTGAGTTGAGGGAGTTGGGGACGAGAGCAGAAACGAGGCAAATTTTATGGCGAATTTCTAGGGTTAGCGGTGTATTGGTCCCAATTGGATTGTTATTTAAAGGTTTAGAGCTTATTGCTTAAGCTTAAGTAAGTTGAAGTGTTTGAATAAACATTAAAAATCAGATTATCCTGGTTGAGAGAAACTAATAAGTTTGGTAAGCATAGCCGACTTACCAAAACATAATAAGGAGTTTAATGTAAGATTTTAGTTTATGGATCTAATTAACATGTCGTTAAAGGGTTTGATTGGCATTCTAAATGATTGATTTGCAACATTGAGAGGTCCAACACCTCTCATTGATATCAATCACATTGCTTAGCAAGGAGTCGGACAACATTTTTCAAAAGTGAGGTTGAGCCATAAGGGTCATATGATTTTATTTTTGTTTAGATCATTTACTTTGTCACTATCAAATACATCATTTACTTTGTCACTATCAAATGTATTTCTATATTTTCTTGTCATAGGATAAGGATATCACGCATATCATATACATTGCTCTCATTTTTGTCGAGCAACCAAAGCCATATTAGATTATCCCTATTAACAATCAAAACCAACCCAACTAACTATTAAAAAATTAATTTCTCTCTTTTCTATATATACAACCGGACCTTAAATTTTTACACTCATTAGCAACTTTATCCAATCAAACCCAATCCAATATACTATATAAAAAAAATTTCATAAAACTATATCAATAGTGATATCGTTTTGTAGATAATTGTTTTCTACAAATTTTAATATATTTTATTTATTTATATTACAAATATATCATTTAATTATGGATAAAGTAAATATATTAAAAACCTAAATTAAAAGGAAAATTAAGAAATAGACAAGTGAAATAGAGAGAAAACTCAACTATATGTTTGGTGGAGCAAACCGTTGGTGGGTTTTAGTGATTATTTAATTTCTTTTTAATTGTTTTGGAAAACGAACCAAACTTTTAGTCGTCATGAGAGTGGTCTTATAACAAATATCATCAACAACTAGAACTATAACTAAAATTAGGCCACACAAGAATACAATTCACTCAACAACTAGGATTATAACTAGAAATGGGACACACAAGAATACAATTCACTACATAAATGGTGGGCATTACATAATACCATTTTAGTAGATAAATCATCTAGTTTTGTTAGATTTTTCCTCTCTTTTACAAATCTAGGGATGATCGTGGGACAGAACCAGTACTGATCGGTACCGTTTTTGATTTTCTGAAAACCGAATTCGATCTAAATTCAATCTTAAGTATCATACCGAATTAACGTTATTGTTACCGATACCGAGAATGGTACAAATTTTCAGTATTAGTACCAGTACCGATGGTACCGAAATTTCATGATTTCGGAGTACCGAGTATCATCCCATATTTTTAAGTTTCGGTACCTTTTCCGGTATGAAATCGAGATTGGTACAAACTGCTCATCCCTAATAGAATCTAGAGTCATGTGGTAGAGAGTATCGAAATAAAAACATGAAATTAGGTCTTCAACTGAAAATGAATCGGTCTAGTTCTGACACCGACCCGATATCATTCTAAAAAACGACTAGCAACCAAAATATATACACACATCATTTGTGTGTTAATCGAAAAAGACCGAGAATAATCCCAACAAGACTGGTTTGAAAAAAGTCCAGAACGAGAAAAAAAATTCTTGAGACCGACATTGGTCCATAAAAAGACAGGATTGTTCCAAGATTGGTTCAAAAAATACAATACCATATTACGAATGGACCCAAACCGATCCATTTCCAAGACTGACTCGGTCCAAAACAGTCTAGATGAATGTGTAGACCTGCACAAAAGATCGATCTCGGACCAGACCCAAAAAAAGATGGTGCAAAAAGTCCAGCTCGAGATTGTCTCGAACTTGTCCGAAAAGACCGGACCATTCCGAGACCAGTCCTAAAAAAGACCGGATCGAGACCGAACGAGACCGGTCTGGAAAAAAAATACAAATTTTTGTGTTAATTATACAAATTTTAATCACAAACTATCTTATTTATTTCATTTTTTCTTTTATTAAATTTAAATTATTATTTTTTATAAATCTTGATTTATCATTTCGGTGATAATCTCATATTTGTTAATGGAAAAAACTCAAAACCAAAAGAAAAGAATCGAAAATATTGAAATCAAACAAAAAAAACCCATAAATCAATCCGAAAAAGGCGTATAAAAAGACCGAAAGACGAGACTGAAAAAGACCGGTCTGAAAAAAGATGGGTCCGAAAAAGACCGGATCGGAAAAAGACTGAATGGGACTGGGACTGATCCGAAAAAAGGCTGGACAGTTCCGAGATTCCGAGATTGACCTCAAAAATACTGGACCGTTTCGAGACACACTCAAGACTGGTCTTGGATCGTTAATATGCAACTCTACGAATGTGTATGAAATATATTATATAGAATTTGGTCCAAAATACAATTTATGCATAGGGCCACGGTGCTTTTGGCCCAAGTTACCAAAACCAAAAGCGTTACGAATGGAGTTACGCATATCGCTTCTCTTCTCTCCCGTTACCATCTCTCGATCGGAGCTCTCGAGTAAATACCTTTCATCTAATTAGTTGTTGTTGTTGGCTGAGGCTCCCATTGTTAAGTATCGTCAATGCGTGGATAAGCTCTAAATGCTATTAAATTTTTTAATTTTTTTTACTTTGTCAACTCAGTACGCGTATGAATCTGGGAATTTTGTGTTTTCAATTGTTATTTTGTTGATTACTTGTTGTTGGATGATTAGTAATGTGTATATAGCTGCTCTACATACCTCTTCCCCGTCAAATGTGGTTGAATGCAAACTGAGATATTATTAGAACTATAACAAACAGATGCAAGACACTACATTCTATAAAATCATTTTTTTATTATGCACTTCCAACTTTATTTTATTATAACGTTACTTTTTGTAAAATCTACTCAACTATAGCAGTGAAACTATTTTGTATGTGGATGACACTTTTATGATTGGATAGATTTTTTTCAAACTACCCTGTTGTAATAGGAAGAAACAAAAATGTGATGGTATATTAAACAAATTGTTATTTCTTGCATTTAACCTTAAATTTTTATATTATAAACCAAATGAGCCTAATTTGGAGAGTTTTTATGCGAATATTATTTCAAGGTTTTGTTATAGTAAACTAGAGGAATAAAGATTTTGTGTCCCATGAAACTTTCAATCTTTTATTTTTTAGGTATCTCACATTTATTCGTTAAAAACTTCAAACTATTGTATTCTTTTACGAATTTTGTGTATGGATATGAAACAGAGTTAGGTTTTTACAAATATGCGTTAATGCTAAATGCAAGAAATAACTATGTAGTTTCATTTATTTGTGTATTATAGCATCATACTTTCAATTTATTGTAATTACGACATTGTATTTTCAATTATTTTGTTCTTTAGGCTTTTTTTTTTTTTTTTTTTTTTTTGGAAAATCTACCTAATCATAGCATTTTACTATGGAGTGAAAGTAGGATGTTATAATAACATAAATAAAACAATGAAAGTACATTGCTATTTCTTGGATTTAGACTTCAAAGCCATTTTTTTTGTTTCTTATTGGGCTAATATCAAGAAATAGCAACATATTTTCATTTATTTATAAATTGTAAAATCCTACTTTCATTTCATTTTATTATTGCATTGTATTTCCAATTCTTTTTTCACCAAGGCATTTTACTTCAGAAAATATAACATATTATAGCATTGCACATTTTAATTTTATCTTATTAAACATTATACTTTGAATTATCTACCCATTTAATATCACTCAAAATTTGTTTTGTATTTAGATGACATAGTTATAATTGTCTAGATTTTTCAGAGTACAGTGCTACAATACGAAGAAATGAAAATAGGGTTCTATAATAAATAGGGCTAAATGCTAGAAAGTACATTGCTATTTATTGTATTTACAAAATTCGTGTAATTTTGCAGGAACTTTATTCTCAACAATACCATGCCTAGATTCTTGGCTAATTTAGCAAACTATCCAAGAATTCTTAAAATTTCATGGAATTGTTGCCAAAGTTACTGACTAGAAACTTCTTGCTAGAAGCATCTTTAGTCATGTACCTAGTTTCAAGAGAATCTTATAGTTCTTTTGTAGATTCGACATTTTGATAGATATAAAAAAAATAAAAAAAGCCAGACATACCATTGAGAATGTAGCCACGACATATGTAGCTTCATTATCCAACTTGGATCTCCTCCTTGTTGTGTCCAAAGTTTCATCTTCGGCGAATTTAGGCATGGGTGTACTCAAAACATACACAACTTTCAAAGTATTTAGGAGAAATTTCATCTTCTTATGCCATCTATGGAAATATTGGCCTTGAAGCTTCACCAACTTGTCAAACTTGTTTGTCATGTCCTTCGCAGAATCGCTACTTGCCATTTTCACATAATTCTTCAATTTTTGTTAGAGATTTGGTGTATAATATCACTTGGAATTCTGAGAATCGTGATGACACTTTCAAATTGATGTATTTCGGTGGTACTCCTGAAATCAACAATTGGATAAGACTCAAATTGAGAGAAATAAGAACAAAGAATGAGTTGATATAATTTTTGTGTGTGCAGCAAAATTGATGACCAAAAACTAGTATAAACCTCTTTGTCTGAAAACCATCACAAAATAGTTTAAATGTCTAAAAACTTTCCAAACTGTTACAAGAGAGTTTCTAACAATCACAAGCTGTCACAAAAATTGGGTTTTCAATAAGAGTTAAGAAAAAAAAATCAAAATCGTGTCATTTTCAACAATTCAGATTTTTCTGCCCCTTGGACCCCACTAAGGGTTGTCGCCCCTTTGACCCCGTTTCTAGAAGCAATGCCCCTAGACCCTACTTCGTTCAGAGGTTTTTCCATAAATGACAGTTTATTTTGAATCTTAAACAAACTCAAATAAGTGTGTAGTCTGCATATCCTTTACTTGCTTAATGTTTATCAAGATTATATTTGCTCAACAAATTAATCAATTACACTTATATATATATATATATATATATATATATATATATATATATATATATATATATATATATATTATCATAGCCCCAAACCAGACGGCAGAAACGTCCGGGGGTGGATGATTTCATTTTGTAGTATCACAACACATGCATTATAGTAATTAAAGTACAAACAACTATTGCATTAATAAGTATAAGTTTTTACATGTATTCAATCATTGTATATTGACACCAAATTAGTTATAGCAAAAGACAGAAGACATGACTCAAAACAGCTCCATCTTTTCAAAAGCTCGGGGAGTACCTGTCTACTGATTCCCTGATAATACAAGTAATTTGAAGAGATAGTATCAACAAAAAGATTAGTGAGTGCATAAGTATTTATGTTTGAAAGTATGTTTCTTGTTCTTTGAATATGTAAACTGATCCAGAAAATCCTATATTTTCGGTTGTATATGAAAAGTAGTTTTAATCTCATAAAACCGTTATGTACATAAACCAATGTTCTGTATTTGTATTACTTTGTAAAATCTGTAAAAGTGAGTGTGCCTGGTTCCACCGGCTGTTATTGTAAACTGTAATGTAATATTGTAAATTGTATCATGTAAGCTAGTACTTTGAAAATGTACTCATGTTTAGTTAATTATACACTAGCGTATTGTTAATATCTTTTTAATGGGTTATTATAACCATACTATGACTAGATGGCCTAGAAAAACGATTTGAAGGCGTTAAAACTGTTGATAACAATTGTCACTCATATGCGTGTATGCCTGTAGCTAGCAGCCTGAGTGCGGGGTTGTCAATCCTAATATAGATCTATACACACTTGTTTCGATCTCCGACTGGAGATTCTGGTATAATATCAGGACTTTAACTATATTGTTTAAATGGATAAACAACTTGAATCTATTGACTCATAAAAAGCATATAGACGTTACGTGTATAACAGTAATGAAAACCCAATTATTATGAAATAAATGATTGATAGTATGTTCCTTGTTTAGTATACTTGGAATATATTTGTAAGTTGTACACCCTTGTTTACTATTGAATCAAATCCTTATTTTTGTAAAATAATATACTCTTGTATACTTGACTCGTGAGTTAGTGTTCTTGAATCATAAATTATACCTATTATAATTTATATGTACTTTCTGTATTGATACTAACTGTTCATGAATGCAACCCCTTGTTCGACATGTTACAAAGGGTATTTGGAACTGAATGAAATAACCTTTATATTTATATACAAATACAAATATATATATATATATATATATATATATATATATATATATATATATATATATATATATAAAAGTAAAATTTAAACGACATTAATAACCGATACCCTAAGCCCACATCCAAATAAGGACGTGTAATAATTAAAATTTTAAGATACAATACTTTGTATAATGTATCCGATCGTAAAAAACGATGGATGTTTTATATTAATCTTATGGTGAAGATCATAAAGTTGGTATCCTTTATTGATAATATTTGATAAAAGTTTTTCACAGTCAAGTAGAAAAATAGCATTATAAGACAATTTTCTTTTATTGAATATGTCATTTGTTTATGTTCGATTGCAATAGAAAGTTATATTTGAAAGTTGATAAAATTCAAATGGTGTTAAAGGTAAATTATGATATACTAGACTTTAGATATTGAAAGTTATCATATAAGATTGAGTTAAGTTGATCAAATTATAAAATGGTAATTATAAATGAAATAATATTTAAAAAAAGGTATATATATATATATATATATATATATATATATATATATATATATATATATATATATATATATATATATATATAAAACGTTAGATTATAATATAAATGTCATCTAGTGTGTGGTCGTAATGATAACTTTGGACCAATAGATAAAAATAAAGAATAGATATGATTTGAGTGCAAAGGTGGAGCAAATTTTTTTTTTAGGGTGTAAAGTGGTTCCGCCCTTGTTTGAGAGTCTATGATATTACAGTGGATTAATATGTATTATATAATCACACTAAATTCATTATAAGAACATTTTACTCATTTAAACTTTATTTTAAAAAAAAATTCATTTTGCAAGGAATACTTAATTCTCTTAATTTTTTTAAATATAACTTCTTAAATTAATTTAATTTCAATTCTAATATAATTTTTAATTATAGTTGAGTTTATTATGTTAGAATAATAATATTTAAGAATGTCAATCGTGACTAATAAAGAGCGTTGAATCTTGAAAGTTTGATGTTTTGATCGGTAAAAACAAATATCAAATTTTTTTTTCAATTATTCTTGAAGAATGAGTTGGATAACATAGCATTTGAATGATAAAAATATTAATGTCAAATGTATATGCTTATAGAATCTCTTAACATTTATAAAAATGATCTTAAAATACAGTTTGAAACAGAAATACATCAAAAGAATAAACATCTTATATAAAATATTCTTGAAATTTTTGAAAGAATCTCCCTTTCCTTCTTGATTTTTGTCCAAGATATGTAATAAAAAAGAAAAACAAAACTTCATTATTGAAATAATACCC